TGTGAGAAGTCCTTTGGGATGAAGATGCCTGGATGACGCTGGGATGCTCTGGGGTAGAGCAGGTTACCTGAGGCTGGAGGTTTGTTTCCCTTTGCCGAACCGCAGAAAGCAGAATAACCCCTTTCCAGATTTTGTTTTTCCCCCCTCAGCGTGTTGCAGCTCGGCTCTGCTTCGCGTGCTGTTACTGATATTTATTGCTGTCGTCGTGCCTAGGACTGTAGTGAGGAGCTGACGCCAAGTTGTGCTCAGTGCTGTAGGAAGCCATCGAGCTGACAAACTATGCACCGGTGGGTTTGTCTTCGTGCTATGAGCGTTGCCTTGTAGTGCTGGGAAAAAAAAAAAAAAAGACAAAATGTCTGGCATGGAGTGCTATAAATGGACTCACTGGTAGTAGAAAGCTGTTAGTTGAAGGGTACCTGTTTTTCCAGCGGCGTGTGAGGCTCAGAGAGTTCAGCGCTGAATTTAATGGTTAAGGTGCTGGGGCAGGATTGCCCTGGTTGGGGCGATTACCCGGCAGTATCCCGGTGTGTCTCCCGTTAAATCAGCATCCAGAATTGAACCAAGAACGTGTGGCAAGCAGGGATTACTCTGGCCTTTCCCTCAGGGAAGGGTTCAAAATATGTTCTTGGGTATGAGAATCTGAGAGATTCAAGAATAAATGTCCTGACGTGGGGCCGTGTGGAGCTCGGTCTTCCCACAGTATTATCTCCCAGGCTGTTCCCCCGAGGATCTGCGGGAGAGCGTGCTTGGGCACAAAATGGGTATTTTTGGCTCTTTGAAGACCTGCCTGTCTGCCACACGGCACCCTTTGCTTTCAGCTGTGGCCCCTGTGCATTTATGTTCGTGATCATTAATGCAGGGATCCTCTGGCCTCCTTACAGCGTGAGTTGTCTCTGCTCTGTGCAATGAAAACCTGCTTTGACCTGGGAAGCCGTTGCCAGCAGCAGGTGGAGTGGACCTGCAGGCCAGCTGGTCCGTGCCCTGCCAGGTGCTGTGGTTGCTTCGGTTTTTAAATGCTTTGGTTTAAAGAAACTTTGAGTCCGCCCTGGAATTGGGGATGTATCAGAGGAGACTTGGGGTGAGGCATCAAAATGTAGACTATAAATGAGGTTACTCATTTCAGAGGAGACAAGGATGAGCGATGAGGAGGCTCCCAGTGGTTGATCTAATGAAGGCGACGTGGGTTGGAAACTCTTGTGTAGTATCAGTTCTGGTTTTCAGATCAAACGCTGGTTCAATTTAAAACCAGGATGGCTGATTTGGAGAGTGTGGCTGAAACCCAGAAACGTGAACATGAATACCTGGCATTGCTCAGCGTGATAAATAGGAAGGGTTCCTATAGGAACAGTGGCAGCTCTTGAACATCAGTGGGAAATCGTTTGCTTCCACACATGCGAATGTCTGAGCATCAAGGAGGCCCTGTCCCAAATTTTTGGACAGGGCTGTGATGAGGCAGAGCCGTGCCTGGGCTCAGCTCCCGCTCCAGGCTCGGTGACATTTGCCGTTGCGGTGAGCTGGGTCCTACCTGCAGCTCTTTCTGTATGCATCTCCCAGCGATCGGGGGCCTCGGGAGGCTTTGAGACAAATTGCATTTGTGCATATCAGATGGAGACTTTGGGGGTTTGAGCAGGAATTCTCTGCCTTTTGTCTTTTATCATTAGGAGTCAGGGATTGAGGTGACAACAGAGTCATGTATGAATGCAAAGTAAACAAAGCTGTGTGTGGGTGTGATGACATGTTTCTTTTGTCCGTAATGTATTCATCCTCTGAGTGCTCCAGGGTTATGCATTTAATTTGTTGTGCAATTGGCAGCTTTAGAAGTACTTAAGCATCCAGCTATCCTTGCCTAAAAATAACTGAAAAGCAAGTGGTTTTTTTTCTCCCAGGATG